TGTTGGAATATTCCAACATTATATTAAGGTGTTGGAATATTCATTGGAATTTCCAACGGAATTTTTTGCTGTTGGAATTTTTTGTTGGAATTCCACATTTTTTTTGTAGTGCAAGTGAAACAAATACAGATCACGAATTCATGTTCAGCAAGATCAAAGCAGAATTGCAATAAAAATTCTGAACGCAACTCTTATATTTTAGATGGCAAAATAATTATAACGCGATATAATTATTCAATGCGGGGCATAAAAATTTCATATGGCCAGATCACCATATACTTTAATAGGCAACTTAATCATGCATAACACATTCTTTGATATCACATGTAAGAAATTTAACGGGTATATTCATAACTATTAGGCGGAATTGAATAAACCCTAAGCATGTAATTCTATTAATTCATAGAACATGGATCTTTGCATGTATTAAATTGCACATAGAAACTTACAAGAATCCAACTATAGTCCTTCCTTGTTCATCTATGATGTTGATCTTTCTCCAATCTCCAATCCTCTTCCTCCAATCTCCAATGATGGATTTGTCTTTTCCTATGAATTGTTTCTCTCTCCTGCGTCTCTCGTCTTTCCATAAAGCCCTTGATGTTGAGAACTTTATTTCGTATGAGATGGGAGAGAGGGGCATGTAGTAATATATATAGGAGGAGATCTACAATCCTATTCCTACTAACATTCCCCATGTTCTAACCCAACTTACTGTCCAAGTCAAACATCACACATTGGACTCTTTAATATTAGAACATTAAATAATCTATTAAATACATATTCATCTTTAATAAAGTTTGACTATTAATTCAATTAGGTCCAACTAATTATATGGTCCACAATAATAGAATAATATATAAAATATTATTACAGTTAGATCATCATGTAACCGTCAGGGATAGTTGATCTAACGGTTACAAATCTCGATGGAATGGTTCCGTAACGAGACTGATAGTGTTTTCCCAATTAAGCATTGTTCTATTTCCTAATTCTGTAAAATTTGTACAAATACTGCATCCAACACATTTCTACCAACCTTTGGCAAAAAAAAAAACATTTCTACCAACATTTCTGCTGTCACATCCAGAAAATGACGTGGATGTTTTCACTTGCATTGTCGACCTAAGAACATCCATAATATTTTGAGTTTCTTAGAAAAAAATCACATACCATGTAGGAAATAGACTTAGTCTATAAAAAAATGTTTCACAATACAATTAAAAGTGGACCTAATCTAACTTATGTGACACTAGAAAAAAGAGACTAAGTCCACACTTGGGTCTATTTTGGACCCAAGTACAAACCCACATAGTCATTAATTGTTCACATTTTTCTTTTTCTTTTTAATAGACAAAACACATTTTTTTGTATGCATTTATTATTACTATATTTTTATTGGTTGTTTAGTATTCTAGACCTAGTACTTTTTTGTTTTACATTAGATAGATTTTGAATTTTTTAGCTTGTGTTTGTCTATGTCATTATAGACTTAGGTCTATTTATTTGCCACATCTATATTTATATAATAAGGTATCATATTTACCAAATTTAGTAGGTTAAAAAGTCAACGTAATTAATGCATTGTTATTTCTATTCAAAATTTTATTTAATTATTTTATTTATTTGTCTTATATCTCATATAATCAATTTAAGAAAAAAATCTCATAACATCTGATAAGTAAAAAAAAAAACGCAAAATATTTACTAAAATAAAAAAGGTTTTATTTATTTGTCTTATTCCATATTAACATCGATTTTGTCAAAACAAATCCCATAAAATCGGTGAAGTCAAAATTTGTACGTAAAGTCTAATCTATACTAAAAAAAGACAGATTCAAAATTCCTTATTTAATTCATTATTTTCATTATCTAATTCCTTCTTATTATCTAATTGTATGGAAATCTATTCTGATTTTGTTTAATTCTCTAATTGTATTTGTATTATATCCCATAAAATCGGTTTAACAAAAAAAAACCCCATAACATCCGATAAGTAAAAAAAAAAAGTACGTAAAATCTTTACTAAAATAAAAAATACTTTATTTATTATCTAATTGTATAGAAATCAATTCTTATTTTGTTCAAACCGATTTCTGTATATTAAAATTCAGATTTTCTAATAAAACTATTAACAACAATATATATATCTACTCTACCCATTATAAATTACAAATCTCAAAATATCGAGTCATCATCTTCCTCAATATCAACCTCCTGCGAACAAAAAATATCCTGAATCAGTCTTTTATTCAAAACAATGAATCAAGGATTTGGGTTAATCAAACAAGTCAATAGGTCTAATAGACCTATGCTCAAAGTTCGAATTGTGAGAATGTTTTTCCAAGACTGGGGCATCACATACAAATCATATTTCGAGTTGGTTCTGCATGATAAAACTGTAAGCCAAATTATTTGAATTTTTATTTTAATTTTGAAATTTGAAACGTATATTTTTTTCGTGTATGTATTTAGATATTTTTGTACATGTTTAGTGAAATATATTTTTGATTTTTTTTTGAATTATATTTCCAGATTTGCAATTTGGTTTATTTATTCCACATACCGTGTATGTATTTAGATATTTACATTATTTATATTTATTTTCGTGTATTGTAAATAATCCCCAAATAAATATATCCCGTGCCTCACACAGGTCACGTACTATATAAATTCCGTATATTTTTCTTTATTCATTTATATAATTATAAGGCTAGATAAATGACCTTAAAATTGTGCTCCCCGTGCATCGCACAGGCTCTGTACTAGTATGCAAAAAAAACCCAAAATATTGTGGGTGCTGTAATTGTACACTACGTTGTCAATGTAACATTCCAAAATTCAATTACCCAATTCCCATATGATTCCATCAATAATGCTAACAGAGCCAACAGCCAATGAGACAGCTCCATGTAGGACTGTCCCACATGACTTCAATGTAGAACAGCCTCACATGGAACTGTCGAATTGATTGTTGGCTCCGTAACGTAGCCAACAGTTAGACTCCTTAGCATTACTCATTCCCTCAACTGAAAAATAAAGAGCAAGTATATCTCTGGGGACTCACAGGCCATCAAACTGTAACTTGTCAAGCGCAAGCTTGACTTTAGACCAAAAATTGAGAGCAGAGCACAAAAC